TGTTTCGTATTCTGCAGCGTTGTTGGTAATGTAGAAATCTAACTTTATGGAGATTGGAACATGTTCTTCTTTAGGTGATACTAATAGTACTCCAATGCCACATCCTTTTTGGTTTGAGGCTTCGTCGAAGTATAAAGTCCAAGTATCATCTTCTATGACCATCAAGCCTTCATCTGGAAATTCGTTATCATGTATTGGCGTCGAATCTTCTATTGGAAAATCCGCTAAGAAGTCCGATACCAAGGATCCTTTTATAGCCTTTTGAGGCATGAACCTTACATCAAATTGGGCTAGGTTGACTATCCTCCTTGATATGCGCCCATTAAGTGTAGATTTTTCAAATAAGTATTTCAGTGGATCCATTCGGGATACTACAAAGATTGTATGCACGAGCATGTAATGTCTCAACTTGGTTGTGGCCCACACTAATGCGAGACACAATTTCTCAAGTGGTGTGTAGCGTACTTCATACTCGAGCATCTTCTTGCTTAGATAGTATATTGCGTCTTCTTTTCCTTCTACTTCTTGTGCGAGCATAGCCCCCATTGTCTCTTTGGTGACTGTTAAGTACAACCTAAGAGGAATCCCTGGAAGCGCTAGTGCTAATGCGGGAGGATTTGCGAGATAGGATTTGATCTTTTCAAAGGATTTTTGACACTCATCATCCCATATTACAGGGACATTCTTTTTGAGTTTCTTGAATATTGGTTCACATATTGTTGTTAGCTCTGATATAAACCTACTTATGTGGCCAATAAATCCTCAAATTTGTTTCTCGGTTTTGGGCAGTGGCATTAACATAATTGCTTTGATCTTGGTTATGTCTATCTTTATTCCTCTAGAGCTTATGACATATCCCAAGAGTTTGCCTGAGGTGACTCCAAAAGCACACTTGGATGGATTCAACCTCATGTTGTATTTCCTTAGCCTTTCATAGAATTTTCTTAAGGCAACTTGATGTCCTGGGCGATCTTTTGATTTTACAATCATATCATCTACGTAGACCTCAACTTCTTTGTGCATCATGTCATGGAGTAGGGAAGTTGCTGCTCGTTGGTAAGTGGCACCCGCATTTTTTAACCCGAATGGCATTACCGTGTAACAGTAAGTACCCCAAGGTGTTATGATTGCTGTTTTCTCCATGTCTTCTTCCGCCATGAGTATCTGGTTGTACCTTGCGTACCCATCCATAAACGAGAGAAGCACGTGATTCGGTGTATTATCTATAAAGATGTCGATGTGTGGTAAAGGGAAGTTGTCCTTTGGACTTGCCTTATTTACGTCTCGATAGTCGACACACATTCTTACCCTTCCATCCTTCTTCGGAACTAGGACCACATTTGCGACCCATTCGGGGTATTTGGATACCCTGATAAAACCTGCAGTTATTTTCTTTTGAACTTCTTCTTTTTTTTAAGAGCTACGTTGGGTTTCATTCGACGCAACTTTTGTTTTACAGTTTTCATTCCTAGAATTAGTGGTATAGTGTGTTGAGGTATTTCTCTGTTAATGCCTGGCATATCTTCGTATGACCAAGCAAATACATCGATAAATTCTTTAAGTAGATTAATTAAATCGGTTCTTTCATCTTCATTAAGTGTTAGTCCGATTTTAACTTTTCTTTTAATGGTTGGAGCGTTTGAGATATCAACCGTTTCAGTATCCTCAATTACCGGTGTTTTATTTTCAAGTGTTTCCATTGCTTTAATGATTTCTTTTTCATTTTCATTGTTAGTTAAGCAATGTTCGTCATCTTGGGTTAGAGAATAACACAAGGAGTAAGAGGAAGAAGACATATTATTGAACTCGAAAATCATTACATCAAATGAGGAAATGTCCTTTGGGACTTGATTACTAACTATCCTAGGAGTAGATGCTGAAATAGAAGAGGGAGGAGGTGCTACAACTAAAGACTTAGAAGACTCTATAGGGGAAGACTCTGAGTCTGACTCAGAGTCAAACGACTCTTCAAACATTGGTCCTTGTCCATTTGTTATTGTAGACACCCATTTTTGTCTCCCAAAAACCAAACCCGATGATGAGTACCTTTCACATCGAATCATAATCGAATGAAGTGAAAGTGTGGAAAGTCTAGTGTTGCGGATAGTTTTAATTTCTTTTCTCTTCTCTTTGATTTTGAAAATCTATTTTAAGAAAAAAGCTAATCCAGTTTGGTTGGTCCATGATATGGGTCCAATAGTAGTGTAGTTGGATAGGGTTTGAAAAGAGCTCTCCAATGATATATTATAAGCTCAATTTCGATGAATATTGAGGAAGTTATGGCCAAATTACTAAACTGGGCCCGGTTTGAGCCTTTTGTGCGGCCCAATGATATAGGGGAAGGCCTAATATAGATTTATCATTCCTAATGCAATTAGGAATGGTTTTACGCTTCTAGATTCTTCTAAAAGGTTCTTTTCATTCCTAATTCAATTAGCATTGATAAATTGACTTTTGTTGACTTTTTACAGTTTTAATCAGAATAAAAGAATGTTTTTGAGGAAAATACGTTTTTATCCTCCTGTACGGTTAATTTTTATCTGATTTTAGAAAACGCATTAGAAAGTTAATCAGCGCCAAACGCCAGTTATTAGCGCCTGGCGCTAAGCCTGGCGCCTAACGCTAGTGTTAGCGCCTGGCGCTAATGTCAGCGTCTGGCGCTAACCTTGTTTTTCCGCGTCAGAACTCTGTTTTGATTTTCTATCTTTTTGGCTGATTTTCTCTATAAATAGCCTTCTAAAAACTCCGTTTTGATTCATCTGTTTTCACCAATTCTCACCAATTCTCATAAAGAATCTCTTGATTACTTTCTTTCTCTCTTTCTAAGCCTAGCTTTTTACAAACAAAATTCCGAATTCACAAGACCTAGAGACACCTAGCAAAATTCGAAGTTGACTTTGCCCTAGACGTGAAAGGTTTTAATTTCTGAGGGTTTGGTCCCAAATCTCTCTTTTAATTATTTAATTTAATTCTTTGATTTTATTATTTTCCTTGAAGTTACTAACGTGTATATTTTGTTATTAGAAAGAGGTACGAGGCATCCAAGTAAGTACTTTAATGGTTTTTATTGATGTTATCATGCTTAGATTGATATTTTGATTCCTAGTATCATGTTTAGGGTAACTTTAATATCAAGTATGATTAAAAGTATGATGCTTCCTATGTTCTTCCTAATATTTATGATTGTTAGTATCATGTTAGGGCTAAAGATTTGATCTTTGATGTTTAGTGACATGCTAGGGTTTGTTATTAATCTTGTTAGTATCATGCCTAGGATCTTGCTATTATGCTTTATTATGATTATTGTTATAATTATTATTTTTTTTGTTACAAAGTAACTTGTATCATTGTGTGAATGCCACACAATTATTGATCTTTTAGACAACACCATTAAATGCATAGGCAATATTTTCCAAACCTAGTAATCTATGTATGACTTGTGTATATCTAGTAGAAGTAGCATGCTTCTACTATAAATACACGGTGAAATGCATTTGCATGTTCACCCCCATTTTCTCATTTTCATCTGTAGTGCAATAATATTACAGATAGTAAAATACTTCCTTTGCTCTCTCTCTCTCTCTCTCTCTCTCTCTCTCTCTCTATATATATATATATATATATATATATATATATATATATATAAAAGTTATAACACGTTATCAGCACGATCTTCAATCAGGTATACTTATACCGATTATCCAATTTTAGAAAGATTTCAATTTCTTTCACAAAATATATTTTGAGGAGTATGCTTTATAGTTGCCCATATGGGATCCTCTATACTAGAAACTCACAATATATTTCTCCACAAAATTACTTTACATAATTAACCATGTTGATAAAAATGAGGATATCAATACATACTGTATTTATGATATTTAGGTTGGTAACTCTCATGCATGGTTATAGAATGTAACATATAATTACTTTTGCATGTGGAAATAATTGTTGTATGCATGTTAATAGAGTAAATTTGATGGCCACACAAATCATGTTCATACTTACATACTTATGCATAATTACTAAAATGAAAAAAATGATGCAGCCTTTATACGAAGTATTTATTTAATTTTAGATTACACACTTTTTATGTTTCTTTCAGTTTCGAACCCTTGATCTCATGAATATATTAGGGTTCTTGGACCACTACGGCTTGCATCCCAGTGTGATACTTAATTCCGTTTATAAATATTAATAGTTTGATTACAATTATTTTACCAGTCTACTAGAACATTGTGTGATATTTTTTACAGTTGTGTAAAACTACAATGGATAATTCACCCTCCTATAAAAGCGGATTACACCCTCCTTATTTCACCATACAAACCTTATCCCCTCCTTAAACTTTACCCAGATTATTTCCTCTTCTTCTTCCTACATTCACTCCGGCCACGACCCATGTTCCCCGTTGACAACCGACAACCACCACACCCCTTTACCTTTGAAGAAGATTTAAGGAAATTAAAGCTATACTTAGTTTTAATTATGGCCCTAGTAGTTTTATTAATGGCAATGATGATTTTCATCATTTTACATAAGTAGCGCTCGGTTTTTCGACAAAGGGAATTAATGCATGTAATCTCCGTAGTACTTCAAGTTTTTTGTCTTCTAGGTAGATTATAAGTGCATTTTGTTATAATAAATGTTCCTTTTGTCTTATAATTAATGTATGTCATTAATATTATTGTTATTATTATTATTATTATTATTATTATTATTATTATTATTATTGTCGTTATTGTTGTCGGTGAGGTAGGAATAGTAGTAGTATTTGTTGTTAATATTATCTTTATTATTGTTATTATTGTTGTTGTTGTTTAACTAACGTAATTATCATGCTTTATTTTAGCTTAATTTTATGTAGATCATAATAATAACCCAAGGGGGAGAAGCAAAATATGTTTTAAATGGCTTATTATTATGATTATAATATGATTACTCTACTTATCACTTGCTTAATTGGCTTAATAATAATTATCTATTTGATTGCAGTTAAAATGGGAGACTTGATGAAAAGACAATTTGACGTATTAGACTTGTCTGGACATAATTATCTTGAATGGACAGTTGATGCCCAAATGAATTTAAAGGCTCAGGAATTGGAACATACAATCAAAGAAATTACCATCCCAGGAAACGAAAAAGATGTCCCTGCTCAAGTTAAAGTTCCTACTGATCAAGAGAAAGCAAAAGCTATAGTTCTCAGGCATCATTTACATAACAGTTTAAAAACTGAGTATTTAATGGTGGAAAATCCCAAAGAACTATGGGATAGCCTGAAAGGAAGATATGACCACCACAAAAGGGTACTACTTCCTTCAGCACAGTTTGAGTGGACAAACTTGAGATTTCAGGATTTTAAATCTGTCAGTGATTATAATTCATCACTATATAAAATTGTATCAATATTGAGATACTGTGATCAACCAGTCACTGAAGTGCAAATGATAGAGAAAACACTCTCTACATTCCATGCTAACAACATTGTATTGCAACAGCAATACCGTGAAAGAGGCTTTGTAAAATATTAAGAGATTATTTCTACATTATTGGTTGTTGAAAAGAATAATGATCTTCTGTTGAAGAATCACAACCTAAGACCAACTGGGTCTCAAGCATTCAATGAGACAAATGCTGTAGAAAGCTCAAATCCACCCGAGACAAATGTTGCTCATAGAGGTGGACGTGGAAAATATAATAACCGTGGCAGAGGTCATGGAAATTTCCGCGGACGTGGCCGTGGATGTGGTCATGGCCGTGGTAGAGGCCATTTCTCCCCCAGAAACAACACTCAAAGGGGGCATCAACAAGGAAACAAAAATCAAGCCACTACAAAAGGAAAGGACACATGTTATAGATGTGGCATGACTGGACATTGGGGACGTACTTGTCGTACGGCCAAAAAGTTGGTAGAACTTTACCAGGCTTCCATTAAAGGGAAATAAAAACATGCCGAAGCAAATTACGTTAATGAAGAAAATGTCCTTGGAACTAGCCTTGATGTGTCTGATTTCCTCATAAACAATGGTGAATCTGGTGGTGAATTTACCTTTGGAGAGAATAATCATGTTTAGATAATTCATCAATTACTATGATATGTATTATGTTTTCTTTATGTACTTTTCTTTTATGTTCTTCATGTTCGAGTTATGTACTTTTAACTTTTCATTATTAATAAAGTAAGTCCAGTTTAATTATCTTAAACTAATCTTATACTTATTATTTTATGAAGATATGGATCTGCCCGAAGTTAGTTCCAAATTTCAATGCCTTTTGGACAGTGGAACAACACACACTATTCTGAAGGATAGAAAATATTTTTTAAAGTTAATATTGTTTCAAGCAAGTGTTAATACCATTTCTGGGTCAGCCAAGCTAATAGAAGGTTCTGGAAAAGCTTGTGTAATACTCCCAAATGGAACAAAATTAATCATTAATGACGCTTTATATTCGAGTAAATCTCGAAGAAATCTTATAAGCTTTAGGAAAAATCAGAAAAAATAATCTTAACTTTCATCAATTTTGGTGGAATAATCCCAACTTTCATTTATTCTGGAATAATCCCAACTTTAGGGGGTCTTATTTTTCTTCAATCCCAAACCAGTCAATGAATTGTTATAGCAGGTCATGTGCCACGTGTCAAGATGCAATTGGTCCTAAAAAAGAAAAATGAAAAACAATATTTTTAAAAAAAAACCCAGAAAACCCTTATATCTATCTGAACACCATAACCCCCCCACCACCACCACCTGCCACTTCCGGCCGCGCGTACCCATCCCTTCCCTTGCCCCAACAGTGCGCCATTACCCCCCAAACCCCTGGTGTTGTTGCGACCCACCTCCACCTCCACCCCCATTCCTCCACGAAACCACCTATGAAATCCCTCCCCACTTTCAAAAATCCCAGATCGCTCCTCCCACCACTTAGAAACCCTTGCGGATAGGGTTTTCAATGGTGGTGGAGGCGTTTTTGGTGGTTTTCGAGAGTGAGGGAGGTGGTTTTAAGGGTGTTTCGAGTGGAGGAAGAGATTTCAAGGGTTTCAAGTGTCACCGGAAAACGAAAAAGAGATGAAGGGGGAATCAGCAGCGCAAGGGGGAGGGGGAATCAACGGCGAAGGGGGTAGTTTTTGGTAGTTTTCGGGAGTGGGCTGGTGTCTTTGAGGGAATTTCGAGAGTTGGGATGGGTGGTTTTTGAGGTTTTCGAGAGTGGGGTGGTGGTTTTTTGGGGTTTGATTGGTGGCGTTGGAGTTTCGGGGGAGGGGATGGTGGTTTGGCTCGGAGCGACGACTCTAGGGGTGGGGGAAGGCCGGAGGTCCGGCAATGTAGGTGGCTAGCATGGGCGGTTGCCGGATTGGCTAGGTGGTTGGGCTTTGGCTGGTGGGTTTTGTTCTTAATTTGGTTTTTTTTTGTTATTTTTTTAATTTTTTTTAAATTTTTTTAGCCAATTGGTTCGTGACACGTGTCACTTTAATTAAAAAAAATAAATAACCCATTCAACCGGTAACCGGTATTTGGGATTGAAGAAAAAAAAGACCCTCCAAAATTCGGATTATTCCAGAATAAATTAAAGTTGGGATTATTCCACCAAAATTGATGAAAGTTGGGATTATTTTTTCTAATTTTTCCTAAGCTTTAAAGATGTGCGTCAAAATGGTTTTCATTTAGAAACAATGATAGTGGATCAAAAGGAATATTTATGCCTCACGGCAGAAAAACATGGCAAGAAACATGTGTATAAAAAATTGCCAGCATATTCTTCAGGGTTATATCATATAGATATACGACCAGTTGAAATAAATTCGATATCTAACCAGAATTTAGATAATAAGAATCTGCTAACTTTATGGCATGATCGTTTGGGTCATCCTGGTACAGGGATGATGCACAAGATAATAGCAAATTCATTAGGACATTCAATTAGGAATGTCAAAATCCCTCGATCAGATGAATTAACATGCTCTGCATGTTCACTTGGCAAATTAATAATAAGGCCATCTATGAACAAAATTGCTACTGAATCTCCAACATTTTTAGAGAGGATTCAAGGAGACATTTGTGGACCAATTAATCCTGCATGTGGACCATTCCGATATTTTATGGTATTAATTGATGCCTCAACTCGATGGTCACATGTAAGTCTTTTTTCCAGTAGAAATGTTGCTTTTGCAAAACTTATTGCTCAAATTATTAAATTAAGGGCACAATTTCCAGACCATACAATAAAAAGAATAAGGCTTGACAATGCTGGGGAATTCACATCCCAAACATTTAATGATTATTATATGTCAATTGGAATTGTTGTAGAACATCCAGTAGCTCATGTTCATACACAAAATGGCCTTGCTGAGTTGTTAATTAAGAGGCTACAATTGATTGCAAGGCCATTATTGATGAGATCAAAATTGCCTTCATCTGCTTGGGGTCATGCCATAATACATGCGGCAACTCTAATTAGATTGAGACCAACTGCTTATCATAAGTTCTCACCACTACAATTTGTTTTTAGTCGTGAACCTAATGTCTAACATCTAAAATTTTTTGGTTCTACGGTGTATGTTCCTATTGCTCCACCCCAACGAACGAAGATGGGTCCACAAAGAAGGCTGGGAATTTATGTTGGGTTTGAATCACCCTCCATAATTAAATATCTTGAACCAATGACCGGTGATTTATTTACGGCTAGATTTGCCTACTGCCATTTCAATGAGACACTATTCCTAGCCTTAGGGGGAGAGAAAGTGGACCCACAAAAGAAAGAAATAGAACTCATTTGGAATGCAACACAATTGTCAATGTTTGATCCACGAACAAATATGTGTGAACAAGAAGTTCAGAAAATTGTTCATTTACAAAGCATTGCAAATCAGTTGCCTGGTGCATTTATAGATACAAAGAAAGTGACAAAATCACATATACCAGCTGAAAATGCCCCTGCAGGAATCGAAATTCCATCTGGTGATAAGATCACTGAAAATGAATCTCTTGCACGCCGAAAGCGTGGAAGACCACTTGGTTCAAAAGATACTAAATCAAGAAAACTTAAAAGATCTGATGAGATCAACAATATTCTCCTTACGAAAGATCAAGAAAGACAAAATACAGATGAGAATAAAGAAAAAGATGATAATCTGAAAGGGGATGAACAAGATGACCATGACATCGATAACAATGAAACTTCAATAAATTTTGTTTCTACCAGGAATTATTGGAATAGATATGATGTTATCGTAAATGATATATTTGCATATTCCATTGCAATTGAAATGGCATCTGATGAAAATGATAGTGAACCAGGAACAGTGGAAGAATGTCATTGCAGGCATGATTAGCCAAAGTGGAAAGAGGCAATGCAGGTAAAGTTAAAGTCACTCGAAAAACGAGAAGTATTTGGCAAAATAACCCTTACACCAGAAGGTGTAAAGCCAGTTGGATACAAATGGGTATTTGTGAGAAAACGAAATGAGAAAAATGAAATTGTTAGGTACAAGGCAAGACTTGTGGCCCAAGGTTTTTCTCAAATTCCAGGGATTGATTATGAGGAGACATATTCTCCTGTAGTTGATGCAACTACGTTAAGATTTCTGGTAAGCTTGACAGTCTTAGAAGGACTAAAGATGCGATTAATGGATGTAGTGACCGCATATTTATATGGGTCACTCGACACATACATTTATATGAAAGTCCCAAATGGACTAAAATTACCAGAAAACCATAAGCCTAGACATTTGCTTTCCATAAAATTAAAAAGGTCACTTTATGGATTAAAATAGTCTGGAAGGATGTGGTATAATCGTCTTAGTGAATACCTTATGAAAGAAGAGTTCAAGAATAATCAAATTAGTCCTTGTGATTTCATTAAGAGATCATAATCAGGGTTTGCAATTGTTGCAGTTTATGTTGATGACTTGAATATCATTGGAACTCCAAATGAACTTGAAAGAACTGCAAAATACTTGATGAAAGAATCAGAGATGAAAGACCTTGGACAAACTAAATTTTGTCTTGGATTGAAAATTGAGCACTTAAATAATGGTATTTTTGTCCATCAGCCTAACTACGTTACACTGAAAGAGTGTTAAAACGTTTTTTCATGGACAAAAAGACCTCAACAAACACCCCGATGATTGTTCGGTCTTTGAATATGAAATATGATCCATTTAGACCTCGAGAAGAAAACGAGGATGTCCTTGGTCCTGAAGTACCATATCTAAGTGCAATTGGGGCTCTAATGTATCTAGCTAACAATACTAGACCAGACATAGCTTTTTATGTGAATTTGTTAGCCAAGTTTAGCAACGCACCAACGAAGAGACACTGGAAAGGAGTAAAACACTTATTGCGATATCTACGAGGAACGAAAGATATTGGTTTGTTTTATCAATCAAGGCAAGATGTCACCCTCATCAGATATGCAGATGCTGGATATCTATCAGACCCACAAAATGCCAACTCACAAACTGGATATCTGGCTATGGTGGAACTGCAGTTTCTTGGAAATCAACAAAGCAAACCTTGACTGCGACATCATCAAATCATGTTGAGTTGATTGCCCTTTATGAAGCAGGAAGTGAGTGTGTATGGCTAAGGTTAATGATCGGCAATATTCAAAAAGAATGTGGGATGAAAGAAGTAACTGAAAATCCAACCATCATTTACGAAGACAATACTGCATGCATCGCGCAAGTGATCGACGAGTACATCAAAGGTGATAGGACAAAACATCTATCACCAAAATTGTTCTTCACACGATTTACAGAAGGAAGGGAAGATAAATGTCCAACATATCCAATCATGTGATAATTTTGCTGACTTTTTTACAAAGTCCTTACCTTCAAAGAGTTTTGAGCGGTTGGTTCACAAGATTGGAATGCGTCATCTTCATAAGTTACATTAAAATCAAGGGGAGTATTATATGCACTGCACTCTTTTTCCCTTCGATCAGGTTT